ATACAAATATAAATATAAATATAAATGTAAATATAAATACAAATATAAATATAAATACAGATATGAATAAAAATATAAATACAGATAAATAAACTGACTGATTAGCCAATTAATTAATTAATAATTAAATAAATAAACATACATATGCATATTATTATTAATTTAAACTGAAGTTCAATGCATAAATATTTCACATATAAAAATACATAGATAATGAATGATACCAAAAAAGAACTGGCTATCTGTAAGAGTGATTAATTTACCTTTCTTTTTTCTTTTTTTTTTTAATAGAGTAGAATAATTTGAGAAATAATATGGTTATATCATGGAAAAAATAAAGATAACACTTAAATGTACTGTTGAAAATCACAGTAATTTATAAGTATAAAATAGAAATTCTATTCACTTTTGTAAAATTGAATCAATTTTCATTATTTCTTTTTTTTGACAAAATAAATCGATTTATAAGTTCAAACATCATCGCAACTACAAGTTTTGAAAACAAATTTCTAATATGAAATAAATTTAATTATTTGACAAACAGTTAACTAATAAATTAAAAAATATCAGGAAATAATTTGAGTTTTTTCGTTTGCACAGAATTTATAATTTATACAATTACCTGTAAATTAATTTTGTTTATTTGTTTGTTCGTTTTTTTTTATTTCATTTATGCATACCAAAAAAGATTGATTGAATAAATGTACACTGTAAAAGTTATTTATTTCAAAAAATACTAAATCCTAAAAATTTCAATTATTTGCATAACAACCAGTAATGTACAAATGGTGAAATGTTGGGAAATTTTTTTTTTTTCTGATAAAAAAAATTCAAATAGAAAAATGTCCAGGAGATCTAACAAAGATTTAATTACTAAATTTAAAAAATTTTCACTCTAAACAAGATTTTAGATGAACGAATAAAATATTTGTTAGGAAATTCTATAAACTAATGTTTAGTTTTCAATACATCATGCATTTTTTGCTATTCATTTCATTTCGAATTTCATCAGTTAATTAATTTGATTATAAAAATATAAAATTATAGTTTTATGCCTACAGCTTTGTAACTAGTTAATTCAATAAATCAGAACGATCAAAAATCAGAAAGATTAAACGATCAGATGAAAATGAAATAAAACTTTTCGGAATGTTCATGTCAAACAGCACTACTGTAAAAAGAATTTGATAAAAAGTTCAACAAAAAAAAGAAATAACTCATTGCTAATATAAACGATTTGACAATTTCAATGTATAATTCAAATCCTATTTTTCAATTACTAGTATTATTTCATTGAATAATTCTATAATCAGTAATTCAATCAATTATTGATTGGAATGAAATGATTGGAAGTTGATGTCATGAATTTGTATTTTTTATTTGTATTTTTTATTTATATTTTTTTCTATTTGTATCGTTTTTTTTACCATATATTTTTTTTACCAATACAGTTTATTTGACGTATATTACGTACATTCACTAGCAAATATAACACATGAGATATGATCACGTTTTTAATTATCATATGTGATCATGTTATTAATTATCATATACAATCACATCATTACTAACAAGTATGATAAATGGAATAATCCCCATTATATTTGGTTTGTGAGTATACGCACGCTAATTAATGTGCGACAATATTGGTGGCATTATAACAGTACTATTTTAGATAAGTCTTATTCAAATGATGTTTACCTGATCAATATAAAATATTCAAATTAAACGATAAATGTATTCGAGTCAATGGTACTAGTTTGAATTAGTTTTGAGGATAATATTTTGAACGAATGATAAGAAGACATGATATTCTTACGTTATTTTCTCTCACAAGGTTTTTGTCAACGCTTCATTCTAAATCTTTTTATTTCAAATGTCATTAAGCTTACATTTTACCTTCACGTCTTATTTAAATAATGAAAAATAAAAAATAAACAAACTGCTAAAACCAATCATAATTTATTATATTTCATGACTTTTTGTAGCTCATCAAAAAAAAGAAAAAAAGTAAACAAAATAAACATTTTAAAAAAAAGCTATACTTTTTAAATTTTGAAACATTGTAAATTTCAAAAATTAAGTAATTTTCAATTTATAATAAAACACTGATTATTGTCATCGTTTTTTTCACTATTAGATAAAACGAATTATTTTATAGTACAAATAAGTTTAATAGCTTTTTATGTTGTAGATTAAAATATTTGTTTTACTGTAAGGGATTGATTAAAATGTTGGAATGATTCAATTTTTAATGTGCAGAAATTTTGATTTTTTTTCAGAAAAAAAAATGGAAAAGGGAAAGCATTCAGAAATTGCTACTCAAAAAAAAAAATTAAGAATGAAAATTGGAAAAAAATTTGAAAATTTTGGAAGAAGTATAGGATGTGCAATAGCAAGTGAAATTACATATAAATTAGAAATTTTAACTTTCGTTTATAAATTAGAAAAAATTTAAATCATGAATTCAAAAGTGATATTAATGATAAAATGATTTGGTTTAGTAGAAATCACTATACTGTAATCCTGATCATTGCCAAAATTACATTTCTTTTCTATCTTTTTTTTTCTTTTCTATCTTTTCTTTCTATTCTTTTCTATCCAAAATTACATTTCTTTTCTTTCTTTTCTATCAGATTTAAAAGAACCAAAAACTGTCCGGTTAGGCAATGTTATAAACTTCAAATATACTTTAGAAATATCAATCTTTCCGGAAAACGAGAAACAGGATTACTATGCTATTTCTTTAGTCGTTTTAAAAAGGTAAACTGCTAGTAGCATATTGCATACTACTGGCATTTTGAATCAAATTTGATGAGATTTATAAAGTAAAGAAAGTTTGCTATTGTCTTGTTCTAACTGTTTTATCATAATAATCTTCCTTATCATCATCCTATCAGCTAATCCTATTTATAATTATCATATTAAAGTTATCTTATAAAGTTATTTATAATTATCATATTAAAGTTAAGTTATTAAAGTTATCTTATAATTACCATATTAAAGTTAAAGTTATCTTAAAGTTATCTCATTCATCATTGTCTCATCAATATAATCTTACTTATTATCATTTTATTCATGTAAACCTACTTATCACTGTAACATTAGAGTAGTCCTAATCCCTTTAATATAATGCAACGTTTGGAAATAAATTTACTGAAGATATATTAATAAACCTGTTATAACATGAAATTTTATGGATAAATTAAATACCTAAATTTACCGCCTGCTACAAGTATGCTACAGTAGCTAAGTATTTATTTGTAATATATCAAAATTTATTTATTGTAATATATCAAAATTTTGACAAACAGTAAAACTTTACAGCAAAACTAATTGATGTATTAATTACCAATAACTGTACTAAATATTTCGATCAAATAAAATGATTCGTCTACAGGATAAGATGGAACATCCGGTAATATGAAAAATCAATTTATAGAATCGAGATGGATGACAAATGATTGAAGTAATGAATTTGCCTAATTGATGCAGGTTTTGCATTTCAAAAGTTTACAAGTTATTATTTCATCCTGCTTTTTGCAAAAAATTTTTTTTACTTGATTAATCGAAATTAAAAAGAATCCTTAAATTGAAGAAGAATGATATCTCAAAAGTAATTAGTTAATAAGTGAGGATTTCGAAATTTTCAAAAACGATTTTCTTCTTGAAATCTGAAAGTTGGACAGTTTTCTAAAACTTAGTTAAAAAGTCACCGTTGAAAACTCTGAAATTTTTAATTAGCCATGAGGGGAAACTAAAATGAAGCTATATTTGAAAACATGGAAGTTTTCGATTAATTAAATGTAAGGTGGAAGGTGAAGCCATTCTTGAGGACTTGGAAATCTTAAAGATTAAAGACAACAGGTTAAAGACGAAATAATTCCTGAAAATTTGGGATTTCCGGTTAGTTAAAAATAGAGACCAGAGACGAAATCATTTCTGAAAAATCGAAATTTTTTGATTAATTCGTTAATTAATCAATTTGTCTTTTGTGCTGCAAAATACAAAACTCCTCAAAATTTAAAAATGGCCATAAAATTATTTCGTATGTTACAGCGCAATATTCATCCGATAGTAATACCAAAGTTTGGGGCGATTTGTTGGTGTCTGTGTGTGTGCATGGGTGTGTGTATGGGTGTGTGTGTGTGCGTGTGTTTGTGTGCGTGTGTGTGTGTGCGTGTGTGTGTGTGCGTGTGTGTGTGTGTGCGTGTGCTAGTGCGTAAACGTGTTGTAAACTATTAATTGTTGTTTTACTTGCTGATTTCATCGTTTATTCATTATTCAAATTTTTGTGATCGTAATTCGGATTACCGGATTACAATCCGAAAGTTACTTTCGGAAACAACGTTCGAATTAGATAAATGGGCAATATCTTGAAAATGATAAATTGATTTTTACGGATTGGGTATTTTTCACCTTTTTTTTTGATAAGTTGTAAACATTAGGCATAAGCATCGACACACATGCATGGATACCCATACACATACACATATATACACACACACATACATACACATTCATATGCACACATGCATATAATAAGACCAAAGATGATAATGTGTAGAAGGCCAAAACAGGATCCATTGTTATGGCACTGCATTGTTACGATTAAATTTTAATTTCAAATAGAAATATAAAACATTTTTGTTGGTTTGAAGTTGCAAAGTTTAACATTCTGCGGCTAAATTTTGCCCGGAAAGAATGAATTTCATCTCATGAATTCGAATCTGAAGTTGGTTGCGCTAATACTAAAAAATGATTATGCATATTTGCTGAATCGGCGAAAAATCGACCTAGGTTCAGGAAAATCGGAAGCAGAATCAACAAATTGATTGAATTGACTGATTTACGGATGTCATCATTATCATATGTTTTTGTTGAGCATTTATTAAATTTTCCATTCAGTTCACTAATTTGGCTTCTGATTTACTGAATCTGTTAATTGATTGGCTAAGATGTATTTCACAGTATTTGCACTCTTATTACATGAACTGTCTCTAATGTTTGATCACAAGGACTTGTTGACCCAGATAAGAAAAGGATAGTTTTGTCTTTTGATTTGTGATCTTGTTCGTCTTAAAAAAAAAAAATAACGATTAAATTACTTCTTGGTATTGCATCACATCTTGCTTAGCTTTTATATCTGGCTTGAAAGTGCTTTCCCTTGTTTCGTCATATCTGATTTCCCCATCTGACTTAAAGCTCATTATCTGAAGTAATAGCATTTACTTTTATATCCAACTTAAAATTACTTTTGCGGATCCGGAGAAGCTTCTTAGAATTACTTTTTAATTTTGCACCACTCTTTATTTTCGACCGTTTTACGCTAGATTTGGAATTACTCTCTAGCAGAATATTGCTTGTGTTATACGTTCGACTTGAAGTTTCTTCGGTATATGGTGGCTGATTTTGAAATTGCATTCTGATGTTGTGTCATATTAGAATTTTATCTCCACTTTAAAATCTCAAAATTTGAATCTATTTGCAGATAAATTACAGCGGCGTGTAAGTGCGTCGGGTTTGTATATATTCGGCTTGATTTACTTCGGGTTTTCTTGGAAAACAAAGTGTATGTGTATATGTATCTTCACTGATTATTACTAGACCGGATGGGTGGACGTCAATCAGTTCAAACCGATTTACATGTTAGTTGTTGTGAATTTCACGTAAATGATTTGCATTTTATAGCCTTTTTTTTTTGAATCTTTCATAGTAATACATTAACTCAAAGTTCTTAATAAAATTCACAAAATATAGTAGTAATAGTAGCATAGAAATAATTATATTAAAGGCGAATTGAATATCGTTGATTTGTTTTCAAATTTTACATATCTAATATGTCGGCTTTCGGAATTAAACAAACAATTTAATAATTTCCTAATCTGATGTCTTTTCTCTTCAAGTGACATCTTTGACATCATTTTAGAAATTTTGTACTGAACTTTGTCGCCGTGCGAAAAGGTAGCATCAATTCAATATAAAATCTCTAAAATATTTTTCTGCTACATTAAAATCACCAAGATCTTTAAATTACTGATCAGTTCGGAGAATGTTGGCAATCATTCAGTGCAACTAGGATAAGATCACTTAGGTACGAAAAGTTTTGACTCATTCCTTCACGAATCAGTGTTACATGCCTCCTGTTCCACGTGCTTTCTTGTAAGATTAAATGAAGTGCGTTTTGTGGAGTGCAGAAATCAATAATGTTGCTATTAGATGAGGGCATCACGTGCGTCAATGTTCAGCTGTTGTTGATTTGGCTAGCAACGACAATAATGTTCAAGAGCCTGGTATAATCTGTTTAATGCTATAACATTAATTACCTTACCCTCTAGAGATATTTCTCTCCGGCAATATGTTAATTATATTTGAGCTACTTGGATTATGAAAATCTTACCACAATTTTAGTAGTATTTTGATCACTTATTCTAACAGTATGTATAGGATAAAAAATGTCGTACATCTTAAAGTTACAGAATTCTCGGTTTTTCTTTTAAAGCACATTTCAATAAATGGCTGATCCTATTTTTGTCTTCTGGTGAATTAGGGTATCATTCTTTAATAAAGATTCACGACACTATCCTATGACCAAAATAAATGAAATTCATAGCGCCGTCACGGGTAAGAACCAGGAGCTTCAGAAGCAAAATAGAATAGTTTTTGAATAATTTTTCTGTAGTCCTACACTTAATTATCATCAGTGCTTCACAAATAAATTTGGTTGTATGGTGCACGATTTCGTTTCCGTCTTCAATTTATTAATTTTCAACTGAATATATCGGAATTGAATCTTTTAACCACATGTTTAAGTTAATGGTTGCTTTGTTTTTCTGTTTTTATTCACACATAACAAGATTTCTTCTTTTTTTAATTTTGCTTTCAAAAATTTTAATTTAGCGTCGACCTCGATCTAATTCAGTGGCCGATACAACAGCAGTGTCAGCTTCAGCTTCAACTAATCATCGTAATCCGCATCTGATCGCTGGCATTGGTAGTATCAGCAACCTTAGGGTACTGCTAAAATATTTTAAATGTTATGTGGAATACGAAATGTCAAACGATCCAGGAAAACCGTTAATACAAATATATCAAAATCAAATATCAAAGCTTTATCAATATTTTGGCGGTCGAAAAATCATGTTTGGAAGATTAAAATCTGAACTTGCTAAAATGGTTCTAATTAAGAAAGGGTAAATAAGTTGGGAATAGTTAATTGCAATAAATTTGTGTTCAAAATTCGAACAGTTAGTATTAGCGAATTTTGCTTAGGGAATATAACATAACGTTAATAAGTATAATTTTTCTGCCATTAAATGTGCTTTATTGAAGTTGTCACGTCTCAAAATTTTAAAGTATCTTCAAAATCAGTAGGTACTACACATTTCATTATTCTCATTTCTTCACATACATCCAGAAAGATCCATTTTTATGCAAAGAATTCTTGTTACATAATTTTCCTGGAAATTTATACTGTTGTTGATAAACGGTATCATTGCCATTTTGGAATTTATTGTTATTGTTTCAGCTGTTGTTACATATGTATTTCTTGTCCAAAAGTTCTGTTCCTGACTGATATTTCATTTCTTTCTTTGTTTTGCATGCGTTTTGAAACATTCATTTACGTCCTGTTGCAAAAAATTATATTTTCTTCCTATAATAATAAAATCATATGCTAGAGAGCTTTTATCCTGATGTGAAATGTTGAAATTTATCACTTTCACGTTTGGAATCCCGGATTATTTTATGTTTAAAGTTTCAAATGCTAATAGTTTACAGGGACGAGTTGACAATGAAAGTACATCGGATTCCGATGAAGATGCACCAGGAACAAGTGCTGCATTACACTCTGGTTCTTCGGCTGAAACACGGCCAATAGGGTTGGTAATTTATTGATGTTATATGTCAAGGTCTGTTTAGGAGAATGAGTTAAATTTTAGGTTACTGCTGAGATTTGCTCCAAAGCTTTCTGTGGGCAGAGATTTACATTTGATACATTTGGGCTTATTTCCAACCACTCGTAAAATGTTGACAAAAATTCAGAAAAATTTTAGGTTTTCCGTTTCACATTTGCGAACACATAGAGGCTCACGTGATGTTCCAGCACGTCGGTCGATGCCGGTATTGCAGCTTTTGAGTCGTAAGTTTCAACATTTACATTCCGTGCCTAAGGGTAAAATCTTTATGTGAAATGGGCGATTAAAATTACTGATAAAGAAGGGGGAAGTGAATCGCTGTTGGAATGTAGGAATTGGGAAGAAAGCTATATTTGTTATTTGTCATGCTGAGGATCAAAAGGTGATGAATGTTTCCATCTCCCTAGACATATTTTTGGAGGCTAAAGATTATTCTCTTTGTTTATCTGATAATTTATTGAAGTAAAGCGTCACTACTGAATGTTATTTTAATCAGCAAGAAAATGAGCATTCTTCAAAAGCATAAAATGAATTTGCAAAACTATCCGAGGTAAACTGTCGCGCATAACAGTGCACTGTTTTTGAAACTTTGTGCTATGTCATAATTTTTTAATGGATTCAAATCAATGGAATTTTTAATTAGACATTTAATTCTTCGAAAAGAATGCAACTCGCGAACTATACAACTAAAAAAATCATTTTCTTTTGCTAATAATTTCCTCTTTAGCTTGCGGTTTGCGAGTTGTATTCTTTTTGAGGATTTAAAGGTCTAATTTAAAAAATCCGTTGATTTGCTTGACTTCTACGGAATTTTTTTTTCTTTCAATTATCCAAATAGAAAAACAAAAATACTTTCAGATTTCAACTGCATTAGCATGTGCAATTGGAATGTGGAAATTTTGGGATTTGTATTCAGCATTACTGCTGATAAATTTATGTTCTAGGTGAACGGAACTGTGGAGACTTCAGGACGGGGTAACTTCGAGATCGCAAAACTTGTGAAATATTATATCGGTGTGTAATGCATTCTTGCAGGTTTATCGCAAGATATCAAATGTCCGATTTGCAAGAAAACGGTACCGTCCGATGAAGCTGAAGTTCATCTAGTTATGTGTCTAACACGTCCTAAAATAACTTACAATGGTATTTCTTAATATCGTTTTTTATTGGTACACATTTGTTGTCTTTACTCTTTTCAAATTCGACAATTACTTTGCTTTACTAGTACAGGTCCGTTATTTATTACACACAGGTATGGTTTTTGCCGCTTTATATGTTAACAAAAACGATTCTTTTTTGAATTGCAGAAGATGAATTAAGAGAAGACAAGGGAGAGTGTTCGATATGTCTCGAAGAAATGTCTTGTGGTGATCGAATTGCCCGTCTCCCTTGCTTATGTATTTATCATAAAAGGTGATATATTGCTTTTCATATGGACTGCTTAGCTATGCAGATTATGTATTACTGAAAATTGGTAAAACTAGAGTTGACCCATTATTACTAATGGTAATGGCAATATCAAAATATCGAGAAGATGGTATGATGTTGTAGGAGTATCCATTAGCATGTGGACCATTTTTGCTCCGTGCAAAGTATGTAGTTCATACTTTTTAAAGTGACCAAATAACGGGCAACCATTCCATGTTGCATTTACGCTTCCTGATTTTTTTACTGTTAACTAGTGTTAATAGCTATAAATCTCGAGTAATATTTTCCGTATTCCCTATTCTCGATAGAATCGAAATCACAAATAAAAATATTTAATCGTGTGATAATTAAGAATTCGTCTTAAAATTATGTGCAGATTGCTTCTTAGTCTTGGTGTGAAAAAACCGTTTTTCCTTATATATTTTCCAGCTGGTTTGGTTCCATGCTTATACCTATTTTCAATTCTTTTTGTTTTAAAAACATCGTGAAAATAGACTAGTGCCATTTTCGTTTCAGCTGTATCGATGAATGGTTCATGCGCAAAAATTGTTGTCCTGAGCATCCAGGTTATGACTAATGCGGAATGTTTTGCTTCTACATTATTCGATAACATTACTCATCTATCTTTTTTCTTTCATATTTTCACATTTGCTGCTGAAATAAGAAAATATAATTTCCAGATGGAAAAAATGAAGACAGGTTTGTGAGATTATGTATATATATATATATATATATATATATATAT